ACACCATTTATCTTTATTGTTAGTTTTGGTCTTTGTTCATTAATAGAAGTTTGCCAAAAAATTTTCTTTATGTTTTTTCCTGAATTTCCTATTTTCTCTGTTTCATCATCTCGACTAACATGATTTATTCCAATAGATATTTGGTTATTTGCTTTGAGTAGGGGTTTCCTCTACAACTGCAGGAAAGGTTTGAACTGGATTTACTGTGGGGGCCTGCCTGAGGCCCCTCTGGGAGTTTCCTGAAGCTCGAGGCAGAGGATTACCCTGTCTGTCCCTTGTTGATCTACATTCGTTGGTCCAGTGTTTTCCCTTACCACACCTTCTGCATACTCCAGAAGGAAGGGGCATTCTGTTGCCAGTGTTCCTTGAAGAAACATTATTTCTAGGAATGACCTGTTTACAATCCCTTTTCAAATGTCCTTGCTTTCCACATCCAAAATATCTAACATTGCTCAAACCTTTTGAAATTGCTTTTCCTACCCACATATCATCATGGTCATAAGCCTCTACATTAACTGTATCTCTAATCCAATCTTCCAAAGGTGCAGATCTTGCCTTTAACGGCCTGATTATTCTTTTGCATGCTGCATTTGCATTCTCAAAGGCCAAAGATTCAATTATTATCTGACTAGTCTCTGAATTCGGGACCATTTTCTGTACTGCTGAAGTCAATCTTTGTAAGAAATCTGTGAAAGATTCTTTTGGGCCCTGAATAACCTTTGTAATGACTCAGTTTTTTTTCCTGGTTCTTCAACTCTGTCCCATGCATTCAAAGCTGCCGTTCGACATAGAACTAGGGTTTGGACATCATATAAACATTGTGTTTCTACTGAAGCATATTGGCCTTCTCCAATAAGCTGATCCTGGCAGATTTGTATTCCCCTATCCCTCCATTGTTTTTCTATATTTTTAGCCTCATTATTGAACCACATTTTCCACTGGAGATTTTGTCTGGGTTCAAGAACAGCCTGTGCCAATTCCCGCCAGTCCTTTGGTATAATCCTATTACAAGTTGACCAGGTGTTTAACATTTGCTTTACATATGGGGAGTGCATGCCATAAGATGCTATTGCCTCCTTAAATCTTCATAAGTCTAACATTTTAACTGGAACCCAAGTATTTTGTTCATTCTCTTCATCAGGTAGCTGCTGTACGGCTACCGGATAAATTAAGGGTGATTGTGTGAAAACTGGCTTTCTTTCTGTAACCTTATGATTCAATTTTGAAACAACAACTGTTTATTTCTTCTGTCTGAATTTGAATTTCTCTATAATTCACCTTTACTGGTTTAACAGGTTTTTCTAAGACTGTTATCTTGGCACTTAAGTTGACTATCTTTTTAAATAGTAAAATGAGGATAAGAAAAGTAATAAACTGAATAATTCGATCAATATTAATCTTTTCATATAGTTGTTCCATTGTCAGAGTGCCTAAAATTTCAAACAAAGCCCAATTTTCTTCCAATGTACACATAAAGTCCATTTTTTTTCTTTTAATGTAGAAAAAAATTCTTTTAAATAGATATGTTAATTGACTTACCAAGTCTGGGTAGAACAGTAGAATTCCAGGGAATTTCAAAACAGCCACCTGGTGTTTGAGGTGTGAAGAGAGAGAGAGAGAGAGAGAGAGAGAGAGAGAGAGAGAGAGAGAGAGAGAGAGAGAGAGAGAGAAAGCGTAGTCGCTTGAGCCGAGTCAAGCCTTGGTTTTACAGGCAGGGGCCCTGTTCGGCAGGCAGGCCTGAGTTGTTTGTAGCAGTTGCAAGTAGCTCCAGCTGCGGGTCAGTCAGGCCTGGGCCCGAGCTAGGCAGCCAGTCCGCCCAGGCCGGAAACCGGACCTGTCACCAAGCCAAGTGGTTTTTAATGGATTCTTGTCATGTTGGGCGCCAAATGTAGATGTAACCAACCTTCTTATTAAATAAGAAACACAGAACCAATGCAAAGAAGAAAGCCAAGAGGTCAGAGCTAAGAGCTAAAACCTTACCCTTCCTCCTGCGGTGGTCCTACCTCTCCGAACCAGAGCTACCCCTGTGTTAAAGTCTTTATATAGAGTTCCTGTTCTGCCTTCTCATTGGTTGTAAACCCAACCACATGACTGCCTCCTCACGGCCTGTCTGTATAGGCCTCCAGGTTTTCCATGATTGGTATTGATTAAAGGCATGTGTATCCAATAATGGCTGTATCCCTGAACACACAGAGACTTACCCAGCTCTGCCTACCAAGTGCTGAGATTACAAGAGTATGCCACCACTGCCCTGCTTTCCTATGGCTTGCTAATAGCTCTGACCCCTAGGCAACTTTATTTATTAACCTACAAATAACATTTTAATACAAATAAAATATCACCATAGACCACAGTACATCAGTCTTTTCTGTTGGCTTTCATTTTGCATATGTAATCTTTTCAAGGTCAATCTGTGGTATAGCATGTGCCAGAACCTCATCCCTATATATGGTGGAGTAACACTGCACTGTATGTATATAAAACATTTTGTGTTTCTACTTATCTTTTGATGGACACTAGAGTGTTTACATATATTGCCTAAATGTACAATGATTATCAGCATGTGTTTATTTCAATTCCTAGGAGTGTGCTGTTTTTTTTTTTTTCTTTTCTTTTTTTTGCTCAACGTGACACAAACTAGGATTATCTGAGAAGAGGAACCTCAGTTTAGAAAATGTTGGGATAAGATTGGTCTGCAGGCAAGTCTGTGGGGGCATTTTCTTGATTAATATCAGTGTGGGTGGGCCCAGGCCACTGGGAGGAGTGCCACCCTTGGGCAGGTGGTCTTAGGTGGTGTAAGAAAGCAGACCCAGTAAACAGCACGCCTCCATGGCCACTGTCTCAGTTTCTGCCTCCAGGTTCCTGCCCTAACTTTCTTCATGATGGACTGTGATCAGGAGATGTAGGCTGAAGTAAACGTTTCCCTCCCATGTTGATTTTAGTCATGATGTTTGTCATAGCAACAGAAAACAAACCAGAACAAAAATTGGTACCAGGATCACTGGGGACTGCTCTGATAGAGCTGACCAGGATCACTGGGGACTGCTCTGACAGAGCTGACCAGGATCACTGGGGACTGCTCTGACAGACCTGACCAGGATCACAGGGGGACTGCTCTGACAGACCTGACCAGGATCACGGGGGACTGCTCAGACAGACCTGACCAGGATCACGGGGGACTGCTCAGACAGACCTGACCAGGATCACGGGGGACTGCTCTGATAGACCTGACCATGTTGTTTTGGGGAGGACTGCGAAAGGAATATGGAATTCCGGGCTAGAAAATAATTCAGCGTCCAGAGCTCAATGAGCTGTCATGGGAGCATGGAAGATAGGAGTATGTGGATATAGTTTTCCTAGCATATTTTGTTGAAAACCAAGCCCTTCCTTTTACTTAATGTTCTGGCTGCCTTGTGGAAAACCATCTCGTCATATCTGTGGGGTGTCTCTGCTGTAGTCCATTAGTCTGGCAGGTGTGTACAATCTTTAGGTTGAGACACATCATTGTCACCATGTCCTTTAGTCCCACCATACAGGAGGCAGAGGCAGGTGGATCTCTAAATTCAGGGGCATCCTGGACTACATATCAGAGTCTAGGACAGGCAGGGTAATAAAGGAAGACCCTTTCTCAAAACAACCCAAGTGCCCAACTACAACAAGCCCACAAAAATCCTGTAACATTTTATGATCTCTGTGTTGTGGTGACACCGTTTTTGGTGAGACACGGACAAATGTGCTCACCGGACAAAGGACAGGGTGCTGGAGAGACGACTCCAAAGTTAAAGCACCTGTGTTCTTGCAGAGGACCTGGGTTTTGGTTCCCAGCACCCACATGGTGGCTTGCAACATCCACAGGTACACACAGGTGCACAGTGTAGGTAAAACATCTATACACATAAAATAAAAAAAAACAGACCAAAGTAACAGTATCATCCCAGTCTAGCTTGGTGAGGTAATGGGTTTATTGGGGTTGTACTTCAGGATCACGGGTGAGGGGTTATAGGAGCAGGGGCTTCCACACACATGTACATGCCCACCTGTACACACATACACAAACATGTACATACATCTCCCCATAACATGATTTCATATTGATTTTATTGCCTTCTATTTTATAGTGCCATCTTGAATGTTTCCCACAACCCAATATATCTTATAAGACCTTGATCTTATGGGGTGTGTGTGTGTGTGTGTGTGTGTGTGTGTGTGTGTGTGTGGTTAGGAAAGTGTGGTACTCAGCTGTGTCCTATGCAGGCTGAGCCCCCAAACCCATGTGCTTGGGAGAGGGTAATGTATTTATATCTCAAAAGCATGGAAAATTTAAAAGAAAGCACATTTTTCTTGTATCAATGTACATACTTTATCCTGCTTCCAGACAAGACACTGTCACATGTTATTTTCAAGGCAGGGAACACACTGCTAAGGAACAGTCACACAGGACAGGACACAGCGAAGCGAAACGGGAGCAAGTGTTCGACTACATTCACTCCCCAGGAAACCACAGCTTCTGGCATCCATCCCTGTCTTGAGAATTAAGTCCCTTTCCCTGGGGTACTTGCTTAGCCTTCTAGAGAGCATTTCACATCCTCATGTCCAAGAGCTCAGTGACGACCTAGAGCCTCCAGCCTACCAAAGCATCGCTCTGCATACAGGCCTCTGACAATGCAGTGTGTGTTTTTGTAGAGGAACACTTTGTTCTTTTTATTATAAAGAACTGACTGAGTCAGAGCTGGTGATTTGGCTTTTCTGGTAAAGGCACTTGACGCCAAAGCTCACGACCCACGTTCAATCTCTGGGACTCCCATGGTAGGAGGAGAGAACAGCTCCCACAGCTGGCCACTGGCTTCCACATGCACCCTGTGGCACACATTTATTTCCCCGCCCTCCCGATTTCCTGAATCAGAAAATGAGTACATGACATCTCTACATTACAAAGCAACTCAATGAAGACTTAGAGAAAAACAGTTCATTCTTTGAGAAAATGTCTCAAACTCTGGCACCTCAAACGATGTAACTGCTACCCCTCTCTTCCTTAAAAGGGGCCCTTTCCAGCTTGTTTCCAGGCTTCCTTGACGCCCTTGATGCTTTCCTTCTTCACGCATTTCCAGTATTCTTGCACACTCTGCTGCTGCGGCACCTGTTAGCCGAGAGAAAGACCAGCAGTCACTGGAATCAGGCTAGACAAGGTCTCCTGTCTTCCGGTCCTGCTCATTGCCTTTCCAAACTTCTTTAAAAAAGCTGAGTATGGGCACCTGTCTTTTTTTTTTTTTTTTTTTTTTTTTTTTTTTAAAAGACAGGGTTTCTCTGTGTAGCTTTGGTGCCTGCCCTGGATCTTGCTCTGTAGACCAGGCTGGCCTTGAACTCACAGAGATCCGCCTGACTCTGCCTCCCAAGTGCTGGGATTAAAGGCATGCGCCACCGCCGCCCGGCATGGTCTCCTGTCTTATGGTCCTACTCACTGCCTTTCCACACTTCTTAAAGAAAGCTGAGGGTGGGCTATGTTGCCCAATGCATGTAATGAAGACCATATTTATTAACTTCCCCCAGATTACATGTGCTGTGGGAATCAGGATCTCTTTTCTAAGTTGTAAATGAATAATCTTATGCTACGAACACAAGCATCAATTCTCTATTATCCCTCTTTCCTGGCTCTCTACCTAACTGTGTACTTACTGTCTGTGGAGACGCTTTAGACCCAAGTTATAATGCAAATTTCTTTCACGATAGTACATCTTGTAGATGCTAATGCAAACAAAATTCTGGGCTTCATTTGTCCCCTGCTCAGAGCCCAGTACATGACTATGAGCAGCCACGACAAGTATTGAGAGTTCTGCATGCTTTATATTTAGTTCCCAGTATAGCTATTGTTGGTAAATCTATTAGTTTTCTTACTTATATAGATGAGGTATCTGAGGCACAGAAAAGCTAAGTGGCTTTTCAAGATTCTCAGTCAATACACGACAGAGCAGGATTTGAACCTAATGATCCAAGGTCAGTTCCAAAGTCAGACTCCAGGTTAGATCCAAGGCTGTGATTTCTGAAGAGTGGTTTTTCTACTAGATTCAGATTTGTGTGTGTGTGTGCGCATGTGCACATTCAAATATACAAGTGTGTGTGTGTGTGTGTGTGTGTGTGTTTGTACATGTATGTCCAAGCACATGTGCAAGTATGTACTATGACCGAGGTCCGAGGATAGCCTTGGGTGTTATTCACTGGCCTGAAGCTCAAAAAGTAGGCTAGTCTGGCTAGCTAGCAAAACCCTCAGACCTGTCTATCTCTGCCTCCCCAGAAATGAGATTACAGGCACATGCCAACGTGCCTGGCATTTATATGGTTTCTGGGGACTGAACCCAGGTACTTACTAACTGAACCATTTCCCCAGACTCAGGTTATTTTTTAAAGCAAAGAAAATGCTAAATATTATTCTTTGTAAAAGACAGCTCAGTGTTTTGGTTGTAGTTTATAGTTTCTGTATAAATGATTAAGATTCCACTTAATGTATTACACTTGTCCTAAATCCTAGGTTTAATACCATTGTCACTAACATGTAAAAACACAGGTTTAAAAAAAAAAAAACAAGAAATAAACTAAAAATCTGTTACCCATAAACCTCGATGCATCCTGTTTTTCAATACTCCAAGAAACTCCCCGTGGCTTAGGCACTCATCACCGTCCAAGTCAAAGATCTTGAAGACAGTGTCCAGAATATTGTTTGAGAGTTCTTGTCCAGTTGCTACTTTCACAGCTCTCTTAAACTCCGCTGAAAAGCAAAACAAGAGACTGCCAATCAACCAGGTAAATTAGTCTAAGTGACGTAACCCACAGTGCCATGATTTGAGAGGTGTACTCAAATCATGCATTTGGTTGAGAAATGCCATGAGAGTAAAGCAGGCCATTTCCAGTTAATCGAGGCTCCTAGTAACATAGTCAAGTCCACTCCCTTCCCTCTTCCCCCTTCTTGAGAGTAAGAAAATAAAAGCAAATAAAGTAACTTTTGAGTAAGTGTGCTGGTGATACGAACTGAGAATAACCAAGATGCATTATTTTACTGCTTGCTAATCATCTCCTTATCGGTATCATCTACTGAATGGTGAAACTACTTACAGACAATAAAAATGAAATGATCCATATCTTACCCAGTCTCACAGGGCGATGAGCTAAGCTAAACATTTGCATGGCGATAGCAAAGTCTTCCAAATGCGTTGTAAAATGGCAAAATGACTTGAACTCATCCAAACTAATGCTCTAATAAAAAGAAAGTTTTTTAAATTACAATTTTGTATATACATCAAAATCTTATTGATGTTAAGTCTTCTATCCTAAAGCTTATGAACTTCGATCTCTCTAAGCAAGTTGATGAAATGTTAAACAGGATAAGAACAGATACTAGATTCTCAGCTGAGGAAGGTCCATGAGAGCAAGGGCTACCACGTGCTGTGTGGACTGGGTTCTCTGGACCAGCCCTGGTTTCCTCCTTAGGCTCATTCTGAAGTTCTAACCCCCTGGTAAGGAGGCTGTGGTCACGGGAGGGTTGCAGCCTGTAAGGATGATGTCTGAGGGAATACTCATTAGTGCCCATTGCCGCTCTGGTTCCCGTTCTCCCTGCATACATGTGCACACACCCCCAAAGCAGCATTCATACAACAACACAGATGACACTATGTGGAAGCTGAGAGGAATTTCACCAAAAAACCAGTTCAAACCCAGCCTTGCTGGCATTTGATCTTAGATGTCACATCTCCAGAACACAGAGAAGACAACAGGTTTCTGTACTTTGTGACCATGGCCAAGGAGACTAACACAGCCTGTTCAGTGGGCCACTCCTACTTAATCGGTGTACAGGCACTGAGCAAGGTGGCCTATGCTGAAACTTCAGCTCTGCCATCCATGATGTGTGTGACCTTAGCCTAAATCTCAGGCAGGCGCCTCTTAGGTTCCTTTGTCCAAGGTCTATGGAGTTTAACAATGACATATGAACCCTGGTCTATCTGATTTCAGTATCTATGTACTTAAAAACAAACAAAACCTAAGTTAAAAAGCTACTCTTTCCAGTAAAAAGAAATCAGAGAGGGGCTGGAGAGATGGCCCTTCCAGAGGTCCCGAGTTCAATTCCCAGCACCCACATGGTGGCTTACAACCATCTGTAGTGGGATCTGATGCCCTCTTCTGTTATAAAGCCATACACTAGATAGAGCACTCATACATAAAATAAATAAATCTTAAATTAAAAAAAAAACTCAGAAAACTCTTCTCCTTCAACTGATGATGGCTGGATCGATCTCAAACTCATTATCCCTCTTGCCTTGATCTCCAGAGTAGCTGGATTATAGGTACACGCCAGCCCAGCCACAGTGTGAAAGTTCTCAATCTTACAGAAAATTCTTCCAGATCTTATCTCTGCAGGGCCTTTTAGGACCTGCCCTCTGTCCACACATGGTCTACGCAAGTCTCACTGCTTTCAGTTTTTGTGGGCCTTTGTGGAATAATTAAAGTTTTTTTTGTAAAAACTACAACAAATTAAAAAATTTATTATTTTTCTTGTGTGTCTGGGTGTTATCTGTGTATCACTTACACGCCTGCTGCCCACGGAGGCCAGAGAAAGCATCAAGCCCCCTAGACGGAGTTACAGACAGGTGTGAGCCACCATGTGGGGGCTGGAATCAAACTGGGTCCTCTGCAAGAGCAGCCAGTGTTCTTAACCACTGAGCCACCTCTCCAGTCCCAACAAAAAAAAACTGAAGAATATACGACCAAGGTTAAAAAAATGTCAGCAGTGTGAAGGATAAAGAGCCTTCCTTCCTCCTCTGACCCCTCTTCTGACCTCACTGCAAAGGCATGGACAGCACCTGTATGCTTCCAGAAATACACAGCTCATATAAAAGCAGCTGTGTACCCCACACAACACAGACTGCCTGTCCCGACTCGGGAACCACCTTCTCACGCGTTTCTGCACTCCACCTTTTTCTTTTTCACAGTGAATTTGTCAGCACAGTTGTGAACAGGGACCATTTCTCTGTATATCTTATCATGATCTTAAAACAGGCATGGAGTGCAGCCATTCCGATGCCCACTTCTCTTTCCAGCATGCTGAGGCCTGAACTCAGGACCCTGTGCATGCAAGGCTTTTCCACAGGTGGAAATGGCACCTCATTCCCATCTGAACCCGAACATCCTCAGAATAGGTTTTATACTGTGCATATGAGATTTCTCTTCTCGTGACTGTATGTCCTGTCCTGGTGACAGTTATCATTGCTGTGATGAAACACCATGACCAAAACAACTTGGAGAGGAAAGGGCTTATTTGGCTCACACATCCACATCACTGTCCATCACTGAAGGAAATCAGGTCAGGAACTCAGGCAGGGCAGGACCCTGGAGGCAGAAGTTGATGCAGAGGCCATGGGTGCTGCTTACTGACTTGCTCAGCCTACTTTCTTATGGAACCCAAGGCCACCAGCTCAGGGGTGGCCCCACCCACACGGGCACCCTGACTACACAGTGTTTCCCTCAGACAGAGGACTACTTTGCTTACTGCCAGTATAATAACAACAAGGCCTCCTTCTGCAGAGAGGTCAGGAAACCTTGCTTCTGGCCTCTTCTGAAGGACTGATGTGTTTGACTGTGGATGATCTCCTGCACGGTAGCTTTCCTCAGGGACTCTCCCAATCACTGTTAGGGCTTTGGGTAGTAAGGGTAAATTAACACAAACAGGATGCTCACCCTCGTGCTGTGAGTAATGGTTGTTTTGTTTTATTTATTTTTATTTTTTTGGTCTCTCACCCAATAATCTTGTATCTTCTGTAAGCATCCATTAAATTGTGCAGGGTAATTTGGAAACATAAAAATTTCAGATACTTTTTAGTAGTTGACAGACTGATCTTTTAAATTCTCATATAAACAGAGAAGTCTCAGATCCTTCTGAGTGTTTGAGAGTCATGGGTTTTAAAAGAGTCCATTATGTGCTAATTAGCTTCAGCTGTCAACCTGACAGGGCCCAGGAGGAGCATTTCTATGTAAAACACTTGTTTCCTCTTCAATACCAGCGGCAGCTCTAAAACCAGCTGTTTCCTTGTATCTAATCAGGTTGTAAACATTCCTTTCCTTTTTAAAAAATTTTTTAATTTGGGGGTTTTTTGAGACAGAGTTTCTCCTTGTAGCCCTGGCTGTCCTCAACTAGCTTGTAGACCAGGCTGGCCTCAAACTCAAGATCTATCTGCTTCGGTTCTGGAGTACTGGGACTAAAGGTGTGCGTCACCACTGTAAATGTTTCTTCATTTTAAAAATTAAATTCTTTTGTAATTATGTATTTCCATTTCAATTATTACTGTATTGCCCGTCTAGGCATGGTGGCACACAGGAGGCTGAGGCAGGAGAATTACAAATACAAGGCCTAACTGGACAACATTGAGAAAGGGAGAAAAGGGATCACTTGTATCTTTTTTTTTTTTTTTTTAACGACAGGGTTTTTCTGTGTAGCCCTGGCTATCCTGGAACTTGGTTGTGGACCAGGCTGGCCTGGAACATGCTCTGTAGACCAGGCTGACCTGGAACTCACAGAGATCCACCTGCCTCTGCCTTCTGAGTGCTAAGATTAAAGTTGTGTGCCACCATGTCTGGATCACTCATATTTTATCTTTTCCCTTCTGTTGGAAGTAGCTCTAAAGGCTGGAGAGATGGCCTAGCAGGTACTAATACTGGCTGCTCTTGCATAGGGCCAGAATTCCATTCCCAACACCTAGAGTGGGTTGCAAACTCCTGTAACTCCAGTTCCAGAGGATCTGACACCTTCTTCTGGCCTCTGTGAGCATCACATATATACACTCATAAACACACATGGAAACATATTAAAAAAAAAAGAAAGGGGTTCATAATTTAAAAAATAGAAATAGTTTTTAAGACCTTATATAAAAATACTTGTTCATGCCAAAACCATTTTGCTTACATAAAATTACAAAGGAAGAAAAAAAACTGTGTTGACAAATGCCTGTGGTTGCAGCTCCTTGGGAAGCAGAGGTGAAAGACCACCCGGGCTTCCAAGTTTAAGATCAGTCCCTGCAATATGGCTAGGCACAGATTCAAAACAAACAGAAATATAACAAACAAACAAACAAACAAACAATGCCTTGAAATTTCACTACTGGACAGAGGTCTGAATGAGAAGGGCACCCATGGCTCACAGCTCACATGCTTGACTACCTGGTCCACAGCTGGTAGAACTGTGTGAGAAGCGTTAGGAGGTGTGGCCTTGTCGGAGGACGTATGCCACACTTTGAGGTTTCAAAAGACATGTGTCGTTCCCAGCGTCTCTCTCTCTGCCTCTAACTTGTGGCTTAAGATGTGAGCTTTCGGCTGTTCCTGCTACCATACCTTTGCTATGTCACCATGGACTCCAACCCTGAAACCGGAAGCCCAAGTTAAATGTTCTCTTTTGCAAGTTGTATTTAGTCATGGCGTTTTATCACAGCAACAGAAAGTAACTCAGACACGTGCAAAAGCCATGATTGCTAGTTTGGTGGTTATCATTTTGTATCTCACACATACATCACACTTTCTCCCTTAAAATGTGTACACAGGACAGCCACTTCTAACATACTAATGACATAACAGGCATTTCACTGAATTCATATTGTTTCTAGTGGTTTTCAAGTGGGTTCTGTTGGGCTCGCTGGCTAGAGTCAAAGCCTATGTAAAGAGGGACAACATGGCCCCCTTTCACAGTTTTACAGTCTTTACCAACAACCGTGCTCATTTTCACTGGCTAAGCTCTCCAGAGCAGCAGTCAGCACTGGGGAGAGCCTTGTCCCACCGTGGAGCTATAGGCTCAGAGGCTGTCCTGTGTCTGAGGCAGCTCACGACAGGGAGATTGTACGGAAAGTGTCCCTGATCACTTTCATGCTTCAGTAACAGGAGCACTGTCTCGGGTAACTTAGAAGTTACTTTCCTCGGTTATATGAACTTTCTAGTTTCACTTCTATCCCATGTATAAGAAAAAGGCGTACCGACCTCTCCTACCGACAACTTTTCTCTCACGTTTTTCCAGTAGATGTCTTTGTTTTCAGTGTTAGTGAAGAAAAGGAGCCACTCTGCAAAGTCTTCCTTTCTCATGAAATTCAGACCCTTAGAAAACTGAAGGAATTCCATTTCTTGAACTTCTGTTTGTAAATTTTCCATAAATCTAGATATTAAAATACAAAATTGGTATAATCAGCTAGTGGCATTCCACCCAATATTGTAAGTGGGGTTTCACCAAGCGGCTGGCCTCTGGCAGGAGAGCATAAGGAAGCATCGGGGCTGTGTCGGGGTGTGGAGGAGCAGCCAGAGAAGCTGGTGAAGTCCAATAGTCCAGCAAGTCTGTGCAGATTACACCTGGCAACCTAAGCTGTGATCAACGTGAAGGCGTAAAAGTTATACAAAATGTTGCTTTAATAGATCCACAGAAACTAACATCCTGTGGAAAGCGTTTCTTCTAATGTAGAAACATCAATAACCGGAAAAATTAAAGTTTAACAGAGGACACTCCTTTTAGCTTAATAATGAATGGACACCAACACAGGGACAATGACTTTGTATCAGAAGCTTAGGTCTACATTATCTGAGTTATCAGGGCAAAAGTGTGAAAGTCTACAACTCAACAAGCCTTTTCTTTTCTTTTTCATAAAAACAACACGGCACTTTGAGCAAAGTCACACCACCAGCTTCCTGGGAAGGTACAGGTTGAATAGCTCAAGATCAAACTTTTACTTTCTTGAACAAGAACCTAGAAGAGCTGCACTAGGGATTATTACCCAAGGCATGTGAAAGCCGTTCTATCCAAGGCATGTGAAAGCCATTCTGAGCATCCTGTTTTCATGTGTTGCAATTTCCTTTAAAATACATTTTTATGTGTGTGTGTGTGTGTGTGTGTGTGTGTGTGTGTGTGTGTGTGTGTGTGTGTCATACCACAGTTTGAAATGGGTGCAATAGATACATGGGATAAAAAAAGACACCTTCAGTCCAGTGGGAGAAAGCACCATTGTTAACAGCTGGCTTTAGGGTCTGCATTTCTCCTGTAAACTTCCAAGTGTGGAGGGAGCATGGGCGTGGGCGTCTACCTCTGTGATGAGCACCTGTCACCTATGACATTAGCTGAATGTAGCAGAAGCACAGAATTTTTTGATACTATGCTTCTTTCTGGGTCAAAGCAGAATTTTGTCTAAAACTGAATGTGTTCTGGGCTGAACTTATGGGTTAGAGATATTTTACTGATATATTTTGCATTTTGTTTACTGAGTTTTATTGTATTGTGTACTATGATAATATTCAATGATTCTTTTTTTGTGTTATTGTGTGCATGTACTTTAGTGTGTGTGTGTATGGGTGCATTTGTGGTAGTGTGTGTGTTGGTGTATGTGTGTGTATGGGTGCATGTATGAGTGTTGTATGTGTTAGTGTGCATGTGTGGTAGTGTGTGTGTTGGTGTGTGTGTGTGTGTGTTTCAATGTTTGTGAAGGCTATAGATTGAAGCCTGTTGTCTTCCTCCATCACTTTTCCACCTTCTTTTTTGAGACAGGGTCTGTCACTGCTGATTGGTGGATGCGGCTGGCCAGCAAGCTCCAGGGAGCCTTGTTTCTGCCTCCCCAGCCCTCGAGTTACAGGCATGTGCAGCCACGTCTGTTTCTTCACCAGGTCCTTGTGTTTACAGAACAAGCACTTCACAGACTGCTCTGCCTTGGGATCATTACAGAGTCTTTACTTGGAGATAGTGTGTAGCAAACGAAGAGATGTGCACAACAGAGCTGTGCTGTTCTTCTCACCTTCTGTCTTCTGAGACAGGAGGAAGGCGTAAGAGATCGGTAGGCTGACTGAAGAAACGGAGCAAGAGGCAAAGAACTGTGCTGGGTTGCTGCAGCACTGGGGGAAGTGAGGAACCAAGAGATCACGAGAAGGGAATTAACGGTATTTGGTGACCAACTGGACAGAGAAGGAGGAGAAAGCAGAGGTGCTGCCTCGTCTGAACGGCACTGACTACAGTGTGCATCTGCTCATTGGTGTCAGTTACGAAAAGGAAGAACACGTATCTCTTCTCGCTTCAGCTTCCTTGCAATGCCAAGGGCCTTTTAAAAGAAAACCATCTGATAAACATACATGAGAACCCGTATAACTTCATGGGCTACACACCTTCACAGGGGTCTCCCCTTTATCTACATGGGGTAAAATCAGTGAGTAGGTCACCTCTTCATTGACAGAAGCACTTAGTGCAATGCATCTGAATGGTGTGCACATAGCTTGCAAAAGGGATTAGTGTTTGAGACACGGCCTGACATACAACAGCACGCGCGCGCACACACACACACACACACACACACACAATAAATCTCAGCAGAAATGCAGTGAGCTGAATAAGGTGCAGGCCCTCTGCTTTCCAGATCAGTATTTTTCTGGTGTTCTGATCTGCTGCTTTCTAGTACCTGCTGAGAGACTATTCCAGAGAGCACTACAGGGAGACCCTGGGAGGAGGTAAGCAGGGCTCCACTCTGTCAATGTCAGCAGAAACCAGATACTCTATTGGCCCAATTTTACAAAAAAATGAATTCAGGGAAGTTAAGCCAACTGCTTAAAGTCAGTGTTAGCATAAAACTTTATCTGAGACCTGGAGCTGCCTGCTTCCTAATGCACTGTTCCAGCTGCTTTTATAATACAGCTGTTGGGTTATACAGATTATACTGGGCCTCTACAGAAGAGGCCTGTGTAGACCAGAGCTGAGTCCCCACATCTCAGAACAGCTTCATTGCACAGTAACTCCAGCTGAGATCAGCTGGTGCTGGCCACAGCAGAGCTGCACTCAGGGACACAGCGCACGGCCTTGTTTTACATTCAACAATGTGGCTGGCTGTTTTGTGTTAAAAACAAAATTGTTGGGCAGTGGTGGCGCACGCCTTTAATCCAGCACTTGGGAGGCAGAGTCAGGTGGATCTCTGTGAGTTCAAGGCCAGCCTGGTCTATAGAGTGACAGTCAGGATGTAGGGAAAAGGGGCTGGCTAAAGAAACCCACCCTGACCCTGGAGCCCAGAACTAGGGAAAGATGGCTCAGATAAGGCCAGTGAAAGAAACACAGTTTGGCTCAAATCAGAGCCATCTCTGCCTTGGCTAACTGACTTGTGAAATCAACCAATCACAGAGTAGGACAGTAGAACCCTGGTCCTGGGGCCCAGGACCAGGGAAAGAATACAGCCTGGGTTTGGGACCTGAGCCAGAGAAATGAACTCTTTATCCCCAAACCCAGAACCAAGGAAACATGCCCTGACTTTGAAACTAGTGCCAAAGAAACACTCCTGGTCTCCAGCATCAGAGTCAGTGGAAGAAATGTGCCCTGGCCTTAGAATTAGTGTCAAAAAGCTAAGTAAGGCCAGTGAAAGAAACACAGTTTGGCTCAGTTCAGAGCCATCTCTGCCCCTGGCCAACTGACTTGTGAAACCAACCAATCACAGAGCAGGACAGTAGAACCCCGGGCCCCACGTCAACCCCTGGTTGACTCTGCCCCCAAGACATCCTATACAAACTGCCCTGCCTGATCAGTTAAAAAGAGCTGTGTTCTTCACCCTGGTAGAGGCAGCCACTCTCCTGAACTCCTCCTTCCCAAATAAACCTCTTTCTCAAGAGTTTTGGGTGTGAAGACCTTCATTCACTGAGAAGACCTTCATTCATAGAGAAGATCCTCGCTGAGATGTCCCTTAGTGGACAGAGCAAGGAGGAGCTGAACAGAAGATCTTTGCTGAGACGTCCCTCAGTGGATAGAGCAAGAGAGAGCTGAAAAAGTAACACTTTTCTCCAGAGCCGGAGGAGATTGCTACATTTCTGCAGGGGTTTCCCTTTTTGCAGAGTGAAGCAAAAGAAGCAACATCTTAGGTCAGAGAAGCAGAGCTCTGCTAGGAAGTCCCCTTAAAGGAGGGCTGAGCAAAGCCCATCTGTAGTGGCTCTCCAGGAGAGGAGCAGGATTGCTATATCCTGTGGGGGAGAACATCCCCCATCACACCAGGTATAGCTTGACTCTCCCGAACAGTCAGGATACCCTTCCCTGCAGAGCTCTTGGCAGCTCCATGCCTGACTCTCTCAAAAAGTCAGGATACCCTTCCCTGCTGAAGCAGTTCTAGGCCTGACTTTCCTGAACAGTTAGAAAAACTTCCCTTCCAGGGCTGAGCTGTCTCTTTGCAGCTCCAGCCATCAGAGCTGTCCTAAGCAGCTCCAAGTGTCCAGGACACCTTTAGGGCTCAGCTGTCCTGAGCAGCTCGAGGTGTTGGGGATACCTCGCTTTCCATGGTTGAGCTGTCTCTTTTGCAGCTCCAGCCGGCAGAGCTGTTCTAAGCAGCTCAAGGTGTTGCCTGACTCCCCAAGTAGTCAGGATACCTTTCCCCAGAGTTGCAAAACTCACATTTTGGTGCCAAAACGTGGGACCAAACCCACAGAGTTGCAACAAATTTACTTACAAGGAGCACACAAATAAACTCTATCTCAAAAAACCAAAAACACCAAAACAAAACAAAAAACCTCTGAAGTGATGCTAGGGGTATGTCTCTTAGTTGCCAGTATCAAGTAACCAAAAAGAACTATTACGTTTTATAAATGACATTATTTTTTAAATAGGCTAGAATAATTTAAGAATAGTAACTTTATGTTTTATAGGTTAAGTTCTCAGTGATAAATACCTTAAAGAACCATAAATAGAATCTTAAGTCTAGAGCAGTGCTTCTCAGCCTTCCTAACACTGCTACCCTTTAATACAGCTCCTCATGCTGTGCTGACCCCAACCATGAAGTTATTTCACTGATACTTCATAACTGTAATTTTGTTACTGTTAGGAATTGTAATGGAAATATTTTTGGAGACAGAGGTTTGCCAAAAGGGTCATGACTCTGAAGCTGAGAACTGCTGCTTTACAGTCTGTAGTTCTAGGAAATGAGGATATTCAGTTTCTTCATTTTTTTCCTTTTTCTTTTCTTTTTTGGCTTTTTGAGATAGAGTTTCCTCTGTGTAGCCCTGACTGTCCTGGAACTCATTTTGTAGTCTAGGCTGGCCTTGAACTCAGAGATCTGCCTGCCTCTACCTCCTGAGTGCCGGGATTAAAGGTGTGTGCCACCACTGTCTGGCCAGTTTCTTCATTTCTTACATATAAAAATTTCCCAAATTTTATGTTTACCTTCGAAATTCTTTATAATGAAGTTTTTTTTCTCCTCTTTTCCCAAAGAAACGCACTTGAAGGGTTGTGTTAATTCCAGGCTCTTTCACTGTTGGTTCCTATAAAAAAGGACAAAAAGGAACCTGTGGGTGGGAGCTTGGGGAAATATCCACAAGTGTGTCCTATAGGACAAGAAGGGAGTGAGGGCAGTCATTTCTGCTTATTCCTTGACTAATTCTCCCCCGCCTCTCCACTTGACATCCTTTTGTGATAAAAGCCCTACAGAAACTAGTACAGAAGGGACACGTCCTAACAGGACAAACCTACAGTTGAAATTATACTAAATGGGGGAAAGTCAAAAATATAGAAAGAGTCCAGGGTGTTCACTCCTCGCCCTCATTCAGTACAGGTGGGATTACAGGTGTGTGTTACCACACCTGGACTAGTGGTGTAAGCCCCTTCTAATGCTCCTTGAAATGCTTTTGACACTGCTACCCAGAAGGCTCTCTGCAGCCTACACCACACTGGTCTGGAGTCTAGTACCCTATGCTCCTGTCTTCAGTGCTGACTTCTCTCTGTATAGAGTGGCAGTTCAGTCAGGGGCTGTCTAACTCAAGTAACTGAAGAACTGGAGGGAGCTCTTTGGCACCTCTTAGTAAAGGCCTGTGTCCCCCACAGGGCCTACAGACACCATTAGCTGTGAAAGAGTGTCTTTATTCTCTCTCCCACTGTTTGGCTATGAACTAGAAATTTTTATTTTTAGATTGAAATTTCCACAGTACTAAGGCTCTACATATCTAATGGAGTTAAGGGTATCTGCCTCAGGATTACAGAATCAGAGGACAAATCAATTAAATAGCCAAATATCCCCAAATTTAAGCTCAGAAAAAAAACTGTTTTATTCCCAAAACACTACATAGTATTTACTGGTGGGCTGGCTATTTAATGGTAGCTGACTATTATGACTGTGCCAGTAATCTGAGTAACATTCAATTTCATAAAAATATGATCCTTGTTAATTCTGAGGGGTGTAAGCTATGTGTTTAGACAGAAAGTTACACTTCCACATTCCCTTCAGAAGGATAGCTTCTACTTTTGACATTTACCAAACATCAGACCAAATGTCAAAGCATGAATAAAAGTTTATGGTAACTAAAATATTTTTATTAATTCTTTGAGAATTTCATACAATGTATTTTGATCATATTTACCAATTCTTCCCCTTAATTCCCTGGTAATTTTGTTTTTCTAGTTAGATTTAGATTAAGTCTTGCTCAACATAAAATTAAATGAAGTGACAGTCTCACATCACATCTGCTTTAAAGTCCCTATTTATGAGTTGCTGATTTTACTTTACAAGTCTATTTTAACTTTTGTTCTTTTAAGACAGGGTTTCTTGTAGCAAGGATGACCTTGACCTCCTGGATATGGGACTGCACCTCTATGCTTTATTTATGTGGTGCTGGGGACTGATCTTGGATTCTGTGCATGCTCTGTAAGCCCCTACACTGAGTTGCATTTTCAGTCTCCTTGCCCATTTCCCCTTTTTAAAGATCTGTCTACATGTATGTCTGCATACCAGAAGAGGGCATTGGATCCTATAGGCTTAGAGTTATAGACAGTTGTGAGCTGCTATGTGGGTGCTGGGAATTGAACTCAGGACCTGTGGAAGCGCAGCCAATCCTCTTAACTACTGACCTATCTCTCAAGCCCCATCTTTTTTTTTTTTTTTTTTTTTTTTGAGTTAAGGATCTCACCATAGCCCAACTTGGCCTTGAAGTTGCAATTCTACCTCAGAGGTCCGGATTCTGAGATTCAAGAAGTACAGCACTGTTTTAACAATGTGAACATACTTTGCTCTAAGCAAACAAATATTTCTAAGTTTTCATTTGTTTCAAGGAGTTTCTCATTCATGTATTATACATATCTGCCTTGGTGTATGTGTGGTGCATGTGTGTGGATGTTCAAGGCTGACACAGGAACTCCTTTGGATTACTCTCCACTATACTGAGGCAGGGTCTAACTGGGCCTTGACTGTCAGAAACCCTGTATCTGCAAAGCTGCGATCACCGTGGCCCCTCTACCTGCCCAGTATGTACATGAGTTCAGTTCTTATGTTTCTACACAAGTGCTTTAGATACTGGGCCATTTCCCCAGCTCTTAATTATTGTTATTTTTAACAGTGTTTGTGTGTGTGTAGGCCAGAGGACAACCCTAGGTGTTACCCTCAGGAATACGTCCACTTCTTTGGAAACCAGGTCTCTCACTGGCCCAGAGCTCACCAACTAGGTTAGGTTAGATGAGCTTGCCAGAGAACCCCGAGGATACTCCTGCCTGCCTTCCCAGTGTTGGGATTACAAGTGTGCACTACTAAATGTAGCTTTTACGTTGGTTCTGGGGATTGAGTTCATGTCCTTGGGCTTCTAATGCAAGTGCTTACCAACAGAGCAATTTCCCAGCCTAGACTAACTTAAGTAAAATACTTTTTCTTCCTAAAGAGACAACTTTGGCATCAGGATTAAACCCTCCCTGCTGTGCTGTCAGTGGAGGGGAGGCTGTTTTGGTTTTTGACAGGGTCTCACTGTGTAGCCCAGGCTGGTCTTGAACTCACAGAGCTCTGTCTGCCTCTGCCTCCCAAGTGCTGGGATACAGATGTGCTCCTGGCAGAGGCTGTGATTTTTAAAAATTTACACATTTTGAAATAGATATGTTCTAAAGATGGAGTGATTCAGAAGTTTAAGAAAATCTCACAGGATGGAGTTACATTTAATAGAACATTGTCAGTCAAAATGTATTGATATACACCACTGGTGGAAATAAAAATTCATGTTCCACAGGACATACTGGTTAATATTCATCAAAGTCTGTTAACCTTATCAACAGTCATACTCTTGATCCAGCAATTGAATTTGTGGTAAGTTATCCCTAAGATACAGTCACATGCCTATAAAACAGTGTAATCTTAAGATTATTCCTTGCAGCTTTATGAACTATGAAAGAGATATATGCCAAATATTCCCCAAAAGGAAATGACAGCATAAATATTATAGCCATACAACAATGTACTGTGAAGCCACAGTGAGATGAGATATTGAGCTATGGGGACAGTTTAGTGTGTAGAGTACTGACCACACAGGATTGGGGACTGAGTTCAGGTCCTCAGAACCTACGCACTGTCAGCACAACAGCACCAGTTCAGGATCCCAGCACTCCTGTGTGGAGATGGGAGGTGCAGAGGGGAGAGTCCTAAACAAGGCAGGCAAAGACAGACATCGGAAGTTGGGGTCTGACTTCCACACCTGTGCTGTGGTACACACATACTCCCCACAAATTAAGAAAAATGTGTGTGTGTGTGTGGGATATACAGTATACTACTGCTTATATAAAAATGAAAATCAGCCGGGTGGTGGTGGCGCACACCTTTAATCCCAGTACTCGGGAGGCAGAGGCAGGCGGATCTCCGTGAGTTCGAGGCCAGCCTGGGCTACAGAGTGAGCTCCAGGAAAGGCGCAAAGCTTACACAGAGAAACCTTGTTTCGAAAAACCAAAAAAAAAAAAAAAAAAAAAAAAATGAAAATCAAACTGGGCATGTTGCACTAGGGAGGCTGATGGAAGATTGCTAGAAGTTCAAGGCCAGTCTGAGCTACGGAGTGAGACTTTGTCTCCCAGAAAAACAAAAGAAAAAAAGCCCCTGGCCATACATAGGAACCTCACTCGCTGCCCAGGGCAGGGGCCTGGCACTGGCAGGACAGCCTTGTGCATCTGCACATAGCTGTGTAGCTTGGTGGTATGTGGGCTAGACACCAAGTCCTTCATGAATCCCACAATGACCTGGGATGACAGCTGCTACTGACCTGTGTATTTGGAAGGGTTTCCTTACATACCTGGTATTCTATCTCATTAGTCTTCACTGTCTTGAAGTCATCTTGCTTACTTATGATCTTCTGCAGCTGAAAAGATTACAGAAATGAGCTTACAAGTCTGTCTAATGAAGGTTTTGAAGTAACCTGGAAACAGATGCTAAACTGTCAGAGGGCATCTAGCTGTCTGCGGCTGACTGCTTGCCATGTAAGACTGCAGGAGGAAGGAGGTAGAGAGGCCACCATGGCCACAGTTCTCTGCTTAGCTGCAGCTCCACCCACAGACAAACTCTAACGGCTGCAGTCTGCAAGGCTTCTACCTCGTCTTCCTTCTGGGCCATTTTTATTCAGGCATGTTTCTTAAACCACTGATAGTTTACAGCCACTTTTTCAGATCCGTACCACATACAAGGCCACTCCTCTATATATGCGCTTCCTTTTATTTATTTGTAACATGCTGAAATACTTACACTTTTGTTAATTATAAAACTAACAGTTTCTTAAAACCGAGTCTGTTAAGTAACTACCTACCTTTCGAGTCATTTGTACCAGTCTTCACATGGAAAGCAAATTAAAAGAAAAGGATGAAAGAGAAATGAGATGTACACACAATCACAAACTACAGTTTAAATCAACCAGGAAAAAGTCATCGGAACTTTTTTTAAAAATGTGACTTGTTGGTAATTACAAACTGCTAACATTAAATCACAAATTATCAATCTAAACTTGGCACCCCCCGTTCTGTTTGGTGAGACAAATGGCTTGTGCTGGGTTCTCTAGAGCCCTCCCTCCCCTGCACTCAACACCTCTGTGACTTAAGGGAAACAACTGAAAGCTTGACACTGGTTTCACCTTGTGTTGAAAACCCAATGGCATAGTGCTGGCCCACTTCTCGCACTCTGTATCCCTCCCTTTGCCTGATACCTTCACTTCTTTCACTCGACATGAACATAATCCACTAGACTACCATGTAAGGAGCATTCAGCCTCAGGCAGGAGCACTCTGCCATGCTTGGCTCAGCTGGGCTTCACCTGGTACTCCCTGCTTGGTTACTATGGACAATGCATCAGAAAAAATTACACACATTAAAACCCAGATCCTAGCCTTGCATACTTGAAAATTTTTCTCTACGTACGTAGTTCGTCTGTCCTTCCTGAATGTCCATGGAGGCAATTCTGGTTTTGGCCTCTAAATTAACTTCATCTGGTTTCAAGCGGAACGGAACACTGCACACTGTTCTGTGTGTGTCTTTTTTCTTTCAGCGTGGTTGTCTTGAGATCAATCCCCGTGGCTTGTTTCTATTCACCGCCGAGCTTTGTTGTACTGACTGACTACAACACTATTCAACTTATTCATCTGCCGGTGATCCATGGCTGCGGTTTTGGCTATCTATGAATCAAACTGTCATGACCATTTTTGTAGAGCTCAATTTTATGGATGCTGGTTTAATTTTTCCTTGTCTAGATATGCAACAGGGTAACTGCGCTGTTTAACTTTATTTAAAACAAAACAAAACAAAACAAAACAAAACCTGTCAAACATTTCCAAAGCGAACTGAAGCCTTGGCTGTCTTGGAACTTGTGTAGACCAGGCTCCAATTCACAGAGATACACCTGCCTCTGCCTCCCAGGATTAAAGGCATGTGTGCCCAGCCATTAAATGAAGTTCTTTCTTCCTCCCCACCCCCCACCTCGCTGAGACAGGGTTTCTCTGTGTAGTCCTGGCTGTCCTTAAACTCTTTGTAGACCAGGCTGGCCTTGAACTCACAGAGATCCGCCTGACTCTGCCTCCCGAGTGCTGGGATTAAAGGCATGCGCCACCAAGCCAGGCCAATGAACTGAAGTTCTTCCACCCTCCCCACATTTGCTGTCATGGACCTCTTTAATTTCAGCTTTCTCTTGGGAGTGAGGTATGTGTCACCATGGCTTGCATTTCCTTAATGTAAGGAGCAATTTTTCCACATGCTTATCACTCATCCATGTATTTTTTTTCTTGTAAAATGTCTATTATAGTCTTGCCATTAAAAAAAGAATTACTAAAGCCAGGTGGTGCTGGTGCACGCCTTTTATCTCCACACTCAGGAGGCAGAGGCAGGTGGGTCTCAGTGAGTTTAAGGCCAGCCTAGTCTACAGAGTGAGATCCAGGACAGCCAGGACTAAAGAGAGAAACCCTGTCCCGAAAAACAAAACAAAATTTACTAAGCTATAAACTTCATTATATACATTCTATCCCAATCTCTTCCGTGTCTATTTTCTCACCATGTAGTCCAAGCTGGCCTTGGACTTGCCTCAGCCTCTGAAACATCAATATTACAGATATTTACTCATGTCTGGCCACACTCATTTACTCATGGTGTTTTCCAGCAGAAATTTTTCATTGTGGTGAAGACAAGTCATCATGGCTGTCTTTTGTGGATGCTGCCTTCAGTGCCCTAAGAGACTGCCTTGGGCTGGGGATGAAGTTCAGTGGTAGAGCATTTACCTAGTATGTGAGAGACCTTGGGGTTGCACTTCCCCAAATTGTAAACAAAAATACAAGAACCATAACATACCACACCAAACCAAATTACTCAGCCTCCCCTAGATTCTGAAGATATTTGATGAAACTTTCAACCCAGAGGCTTTCTAATTTTCTTTTTATATATTCTTTGTCTCTTTCTCATCATGCATCTTGATCCCATTCATTTACCTGTCCCTTTGAATCTGCCCGCTGCCCTTGCAACCTCCCACACCAAATAAAATAAAATTTAAGAAAAAAAAAAGAAGAAAACATCTCATCATGGAAGCTGTAGTGTGACACAGTGAGTCACTCAGTACACCCTTTAGTTCATGCATCTTTACTTGCAAGTGTTCACTGCAAAGAGTCATTGTTCTGGTTCCAGGCCTCTGATTTCTGTCACCCTATTGATGCTGGTCCCTCACTGGGACTCCTCTTGGATATCCTGTTGTTGTCCTGTGTCATGGAGATCCTGAAGCTTTGGGTCTGCAGGACTGGCTCCTTCATGCGCTCCTGCAGATTATGGATGGGATGGGCCAACTCACAGCTCTGGTTCTGTCAATCCAGAAGTTTATTTTTGTGTATGGCTAATTTTCCTTTCATATATCTCAGTTATTCTAGCACAATTTGTCAATTAAAAAATTCTTTCCCTATTTATTGACTTGGTGCCTTTACCGAAAACCAAGTGAGCACAAAGTATGAACTTTGTCATTTTCTACTGATTGACCTCCACGTCAGTACCGCAGAGTCACAGAGCGCTGTCTGAGTCTGTCAGCTGCTGCCTCAGCCAGCTTCGCTTCTGTTTCTCAAGACTCATGCCTCAGCCCTCTATATTGACATGTACACTTAATTCTTCTTATTTTAATTATTTATTATTTATTTATTTTTATTTTTTTAAATAACAATTTTATTAAGAGTTATTTATTTTCTGCATATGGTGCTCTATCTGCATGTACACCTGCACGCCAGAAGAAGGCATCAGATCCCATTATAGGTGGCTGTGACCTACCATGTGGTTGCTGGGAATCGAACTCAGGACCTTTAGAAGAGCTGCCAATGCTCTTAACCACTGAGCCATCTCTTCAGACCTATTCTTTATATTTTTTTGAGACAAGGTTTCTCTGTATAGCTTTGGAGCCTACCCTGGAACTTGCTCTGTAGAGCAGGCTGGCCTCGAACTCACCGTCCAGCTTAATTATTTTTAACTTTTTAAACTAAGCCTTCTATTGCAGACCTGGGGATTAGAACCCAGAGCTCTGTGCATGCTAGGTAACCCACACGTTTGTAAAACCACTTTGCCAACGTCTATAAAACACCTGCTTTTCGTTTGCTTGGGAAGTTGATTCATCCGACAAGCTCAGGGAGGCAACAGCTCTGCTGACTTTTGCCTCCTTATGTTCACACCAGCAACTGGGCAACACTTTCTTTGCCTGAAGACTGACTTACTTTCGGAGAGTTTTGCCTGTATGTATGTGTGTGTACCACGTAGCTGCCTGGTGCCCATGGAGGTCAGAAGGAGGAACTGGATCCTCTGGAACTGGAGTTATGGATGGTTGTGAGCTATTATGTGAGTGCTGCAAGCAGAACCTGGGTCCTCTGCAAGAGCCACAGTGTTCCTAAGGCTGAGTCATCTTTCCAGGTCCTACCAGCAACACCTGAAGCTTCAGTGCAAGTTTTCTGTTAAACTTACTTGTAGCTACTTTCTGTTAGTTCATATTGTCCTAAGTGGAGCTGACTGTAGCTTTACTTTCCAACTACTTCTACCCTAGGAACAGATTTCATATCTGCACACTGGTCCTCTAGCTGGGGTTCATTTTAAACTCGCTTGTTCGAATGGGCTGTAGTCTGTTGTTGGTTCCTCGTGCCAGCTGGAGAGAAGCTACATTTCACTTATTCCATTCCAACCTTTTCACCTGTTTTATTTTTTTCTTCTTGAATGGCTGCTATCATTGGAATGTCTATCAAAACACTGAACATAAGAGTTAAAAACAAACTTCTCTGCCTTGCTGCTGTTGCAGTGTGGAAGACATCCAGGATTTCCCACCCTTCAAACAACATGCTGGGTTTGCTTTTTAGTTGCTTGGTGCTGGGGATTGAGCTCAGGGTCTGATGCAATTTAGCATGTGAGCTACTGAGCTATCTCCCAGACCCTGTAAGCTTTGGTAAATGCTCTTTATCAGAATGAAGACACTGTTTTCCTACGTCACTGACTTTTCACAATGATTCATTTGGTTAAGTGCCTTGTGCATACTGACATGATTAGCTGGGCATGATGGTGCATGCACAGACCTGCAGAACTTGGAGGTGGAGGTAGTAGGAGGATCAGAAGTTCATGGCCAGCCTGGGTGTTACATAAGAGCTGTCTCAAAAGACCAAAGGTCAACAAAGAAACAGACAGCGTATGTATACATGGCCTCTCTGCTGTTACTCTGTCGGGATGGTGGGCTGCACCCACTGATTTCTTCCTGTCGAGCTCACTGGTGTTTCTATCTGGACCTCATCTGCACTTCACACAGGGACTGGTTTGCTTTTCTGGGGAAGTGCAGAATTCTGTATTTGGGTTCATGAGGACAGGACTAGAAATACTTCTTGGC